CATTTGAGCAAAGTGTTACCGGAAGTTATCTATTCTGTATAAGTGACCGGTACCAGCTTGCTACCAATACCTGCTCCTTCCAAAAGTATCGTCATTTTATCAAACGTACGCGTCCTGGTTATCTTTCATGAAAAATATTTTTACAATAGAACTCTTTAAGGAGAAAAGAATGTTTACAGCGAGGTAGCATATATCCTTAAGTAAAAAAAAAATACACCTGATTTATTTAAATATAGACCTCTTTTGACAAGATAAATAAATATCCCTAAATGAAAATTACACTTGTGTTCTTTAAAGACAAACAAATATGGAGCAATATTGAAATTGAATCAAAACAAGTGGAGAGACGGAAAGAGCAGTGGAGAAACATTGAAAATTAGATTTAAATAAGAAAGATATATGAAAAGATCAAGGACATCGTGAGAACAAGATAGAAGTAGAGAAAACAGCCGATAGAACGGTACATAGACGCCCAAAAATCAGTAAACTTGTGAAAAGTGGGCAAGACAGAGGAGATAGATGTGGGGAAAGTCGCAGAAAATAAATACATTGAAACAGAAAAGGGGTAAAAAAGGAACATAACATTTTATCAAAAATTCTTAAAACAAAATAAGATGTTTGAGTTTAGGACTAGTCGGGACGAGTATAAGGGAATTTGTTAAATAGAAAGAAAGGTTTAACACCCTACATGACATTAGAAAATGACAAAAAATGTAGTTAAAATCAAAATCGGCAATATTGTAAGAGCAAAAACAAATAGGAAATATTCCACAACGAACGAGAATCAAATTGGCAATGTTTTAGGAACAAACATCCAATCGGCAATATTCTAGGAACAGTCAATCGGCAATATTCTAGGAACACCCAATCGGCAATATTCTAGGAACACCCAATCGGCAATAGTCTAGGAACACTCAATCGGCAATATTCTAGGAACACCCAATCGGCAATATTCTAGGAACATCCAATCGGCAATATTCTAGGAACAGTCAATCGGCAATAGTCTAGAAACACTTTATCTGCAATATTCTAGAAACACCCAATCGGCATTATTGTAGGAACACTAAATCGGCAATATTCTAGACACACTAAATCGGCAATGTTTTATTCTAGACACACTAAATCGGCAATATTCTAGACACACTAAATCGGCAATATTCTAGGAACACTAAATCGGCAATATTCTAGGAACACTAAATCGGCAATATTCTAGGAACACCTAATCGGCAATATTCTTCTAAGAACAAGAATCAAATGGACAACATACTACGAATAAAACCTAATCGGCAGTATTCCAGAGAAAAAATCTGCAATATTCGATAAATAAGATGTCATATAAAAAGACATCATTGGCAAAAACCAGATTTATATAATATCTGAACGAAATCAAATCGGTAATATTCTAAGAACAAAAACCATATTGCCAATATCAGAGAAACAAAATGATGTTGGCAATATTCTAGTAACAAAAACCAAACTTGCAATATTCGAGGCAAAATTCCGGAAGCAGTTCTGGAACAAGGATGGATTGTGCGTGATAATTATCGATATCCTATAAAATGAATTAAAAACTGATGAAATTTTACCATATGTGCCATTAAATGTCATCATAAAAGTAAGGAAAATGTGTATGTATATTTTGTGCCCTGGAAATGTCCGCTTCGGACTCCCGTAGTCATCACAACATGAAAACAATTTTGGACTATTTAGAATCAACATTGGTTGTGTCACTGACGCGTAAACCAACAACAGGTCAAAACACCAATGGAAAGGCCACACACAGTATAAAACTCGTACTGGAAAAGCGATTGCCTGCCTTCATTCCTAGTGGACATAACACCGACATACACACATCAACAACACAATATATAGTAAACCTTACCTCAGACAAATACCATTCTAACACGCCCAGGGTTCACAGAAACCTCTCCGGATCACGACAAGCCACGGTATAAACATTGGCCACAGGCATGCAATTGTAATATACGAAGAGTAATCTTTATCCGCTCGAGCATGCGCTAACCAAACATCATGTCAGTTTCAGCAGCAAGTAGCAGTGAAATCGACTCGCGCATGCGTAGTGTTTTCGGTGTATGATCGATATCTATCAATACACACACGCACACCGGTTATAGAGTAATTGAGGAGTAGCTGTGTATTTAGTGTAAACACAGCTAACCTTACCTACATATACAGGAGTATCAAGCAGACAGCCGTCCGTACTGGTGTTGAGGTACCAGATGGTGAACTATTAATGAATCGATCTTTCTTCTCGTATATTGGTTCGATATAGTCAGGAGTCGGACTCTGTCATTCAAGGAAATTAATATATTTGTTTTGCATGATATATATGTATAATCCCAAAGTCAATATCTATTTTATGTTTTAGTAGTAAAATAGTAATACGTGTCACGAAGTCAATCTTGAAGTAAATACATACAATCCTAGTATGCAGTACGCCCACAGGCTGCTCGGCACAGTAGCCGATATTCAGTAAGAACTCAGAACGCGATAAAACATTCCGAAACAGAAAAAAAATAGTATCTGCAAAAATGTCGATAAAAGTGTCATATTTGTTATGTTCGTGATGCGCAGAAAATCGTAAAACAACGCCGCTCTGTAGTCTATTCTGCCGAAATGTCGAAGATGACGTCAAGACAGATATTGGATGCATCGCGTTGTACACTATATACCCCCACTATCGGACTGTTTGTTGATTTTAACGTCTGCAAAACTAAATCTGGCATGTACAAGGACGAGATATGCAATCGTGAAAGTAAACTACACGCGCGTTTATAAGTATACAGGCACACAGATATGTACAAAGTCGTCGACATGAGTCTATTCATCAGACTTCTGTGACGCAGAAAGAAACGTTTCAATGTATCGTCTAACTCCGTATAGCATGTCAAACCGCGGACAACAACAGAGGATGTATAGTATTATTTTGTACAGAAGATTGACTTTGAAACAGTTAATCTTATATTTATGTACAGAATATATATCACATATAACACCAGGCAAATGATATAATGATTTCATGAGACAGGATTTTTCCGAAGTTCTTCAAAAACATTTCGTTCTGCACATGTGGGATATAACTCTTTCTTGCCAACAGGACAGAATAATCTGCTTTTATTGCGTTGCTAGAAAAGCCTTTCCCATTGTACTAGACAATCTGTCTGACACGGATAGCGCGCGCTTGACGTCAAGCCATCGATGGAAATGGTGTCAATATTTCACCAAAAAAGATGGTTGAGAGATCGTCGGAAGCTCTGGGTTTGAATTCGGATTTGGGCCGTTGTATGTCTCCTTCTGTTAAAAATCGGCACTGTTAACCAACCTTACTCGAGTTTGTTACCGAATCCTGGCTGTAATTAGTGAAGTTTTCGTGACGAAATCTTCGAAAGGATAGGAAATGGTTCAGTGGATCTGGACGGTGACAAGTTATACAGCTATACAGCTCGGAGGTTCCGTGTTGGAATCCGAGCCCACCGCATTTCCATCTTCTTATTCTTCTTCTTTATACGAGGGCTCCATCAGTTTGATGATTATGCCATCGGGGGTCCTATTGTAGAGGCGTGAAGGGGTTATTTATAGTGATTAGGGGTGGGGTGTTGTTTTTTTTGTGATTTTTTTTGTGCAAGGTATAGATAAAAAGTTAAAATCTGGTGTATGTACTAGTGTGTGATGAGGGCTTCAAGGGCTGTGTAGGGTAAGTGTGCCTTGAAGTCCTCTAGTGTTGTGCATTGGACTGCTGCTAAGGGGAGGAGATTCCATTGTGTTACTGTGTGTGGGAAGAATGAGTATTTGTAGGTGTCCTTTGTAGCAGATATGTGTTTGTATGCGTACGGGTGTACCTGTCTGGTGCAGGGGTCTACAGGTGTGAGTATATGTGTTGGGTTTAAAGCTACGATTCTGTGTATAATTTTGTAAAAAAGGATAATTCTAGTGTATAAGCGTCGTGTTTGTAGTGTTGGCCATTGAAGTGTGTGGATCATGTCTGTTACGGAACTAGTGTTGTGGTATCTGTTTTGTACGTAGCGTGCTGCTCTTCGTTGTGTTTTTTCTATTTGTTTAATTTGGTTTGTGTTGTGTGGATCCCAAATGGAAGAGCAGTATTCAAGTTTAGGCCTAACTAGTGCTTTGTATGCATGTTCTTTTATATGTGGTGAGTTTATTTTCAGGTTGCGTTTGAGAAAACCTAGGGACCTATTGGCATTGGCTGTGATATTGTTTATGTGTTTGTCCCATCGTAGGTTGTTTTGTAGTGTTAGTCCTAAGTATTTGCTTGTTTCTACTTTGTGTAATGTGTGGTTGTGGAGTTTGTAATCATGGTGTATTTTGTTGCGTTTCGGTGTAATGTTAAGTATGTTACATTTGTCGGGGTGAAATTGCATTAACCAGTCTGTCTCCCATTGTCTTGCTGCATCGAGGTCGTGTTGTAGTTTTAATGTGTCTTCTTTGTTGTTTATTGTCTTGTATATTATGCTGTCATCTGCAAATAGTCTAAGTGTGCTGTATTTCATATATTCGTGGAAGTCATTTATGTAGATGAGGAAGAGGATGGGGCCCAAACAGGTTCCTTGAGGGACCCTAGAGGTTACTTGTATTTTGTCTGATTGTTTGCCCTCATCCTGATAGCGCATCAGCGATAACAGGTTATAGAAGTGCCGGTGGGAAATTTACATCTTCCGGGGTCTATTTTCAACGGGACAGTCAGTTTTCCACGGCTCCAATTTCAACATTGAAAACTGACTCAAGTTCTTTTATCCACGGATGTCCATTTCCGACGTTAATCCGGCGATACCTTCTGTGAGAAACCTTTCTGTCATTTATGTAACATGAGCAGTTTAATAGGATGCTGGAAATATGACTTTAACACTTACTGATAATTATTGATTCCAGCCGGTATTTCTGTAGAATCTTGTCTGTGTAAGTATATAATAGGCTTAACTAATGGCCACATGTTCAATACTATTACAGTGTGGTAAACTTACCCACCGTCCTCGTTGATCCGGTAGATTCTGTCTCGTATTCCGGAGGATTCTCGTCCATCGGATTATCTTGCCCACCTGTGTGATAACCGTATACTTGTGGTCCTTGTTGTTTGTGATTCGGTCCCGATGACCCCTGCCCTTGCCTTGCAGTCCTGAAATCCCCCCAACTAAATCTCTCGAAGTAAATCAAGTTCACATACTGCTTCCTTTATAATTATTAGAATTAATGTAAAAGCAAGGCGGATCCAAAGCCGCCTTCAGTATCATACGATGCAACTAACCTCCGATTCGAGTTACTAGACAAGAAGAATTATGACGTCATAGATAGTGTGACGTCATCCATTGTTTTTAGTTCTGAGAGTTGGTGCTGCATGTATGGAGGTTCACTAAACAAACAAGGAAACCAAATTATGAACACGTCCTTCGTCTGTTCACTTAAGAAATTATATATACTCTGATTCCGAAAATAGTTTTCTTGTGTAAGTGGCGGCCATGGGTTATACATAAAGAAGTGCAGATCAAAGGACACAGAATGCCATATATGTTTTAACGACGTTATCGTGCACGATAGAAAAGGTCTTACGCAGACATCATTTTTCAATAGAACTATATGTAATGGATATGACATGAAAATTTACATTTGTCATCATGCACCGATTCCTCTGTTAAATGCCTCACATATGTAGAAAATATACAGGTTTCTAACTCGGTATCTCAGTCATAATGAGTGATTGTCAGTGTCCTTGTCAGCAGTGAAGGCCATTGCCGTGTCTGCCATTTACCACCTACCTTAAGTACTCATTGGAATTTCTACATTTAAAACAAAATCGAATCTTTTTGATTTCAATAATCCATAAACCCCTAGAAGGTCTGGCTTGATACATCATTTCGTTAGCCCGGACATTTTATTTCGTTACATTGAATATTGTCTCCGTTTTTCTATATAGTTTGTAAGTAACTGATTTCAGTAACTGATAAATTAAACCGTTAGGCGATATTCGATCACAAACCCGGGCCCCGGGACCAGGACACATTGGGTAGAACAAAACAAATTATGTGTTCTGTGTAGCGACCCAGTCCGAATCGTGAAACTTGATAAACCGATCGATATTTGACGAGATAAATTCTTCCCTGTACAAAACAAGTGTTCGGCTCATACATGTGCAAAGAGATAATCTCGTCGGTGTCACGAGATAAAGTGTTCTATGTACCGAGATAATCTCTCCGGCCTAACGAAATAAAGAGTTCGGTGTATCGAGATAATCTCTTCGATGTCACGAAAGAAAGTGTGATATGTACCTAGATAACCTCTTCGGTGTAACGAGATAATCTCGTCGGTGTACAAGATAAAGCGTTCGGTGTCACGCGATAAAGTGTTCTATGTACCGATATAATCGCTTCGGTCTAACGAAATAAAGAGTTCGGTGTAACGAGATAATCTCTTCGATGTCACGAAAGAAAGTGTGATATGTACCTAGATAATCTCTTCGGTGTAACGAGATAAAGTTCTCTGTGAAACGAGGAAATCTCTTCGGTGTAACGAGATAAAGTGTTCTACGTACCCAGATAATCTCTCCGGTCTAAAGAAATAAAGAGTTCGGTGTAACGAGATAATCTCTCCGATGTAACGAAAGAAAGTGTGCTATGTACCGAGATAATCTTTCCGGTGTAAAGAAAAAAAAGAGTTATGTGAAACGATGTAATCTCTTCGGTGTACCGAGTAAAGTGTTCTATGCTATGTACCAAGATAATCTCTTCGGTGTAACGAAAAGAAAGTGTTCTATGTACCGAGATAATCTCTTCGGTGTAACGAAATAAAGTGTTCTATGTACCAAGATAATCTCTTCTGTGTAACGAACAAAAAGTGTTCTATGTACCGAGATAATCTCTTCGGTGTAACAAAATGAAGTGTTCTATGTACCAAGATAATCACTTCGGTGTAACGAAGTAAGGTGTTCTATGTACCGAGATAATCTCTTCGATGTAACGAAATAAAATGGTCTATGTATCAAGACAATCACTTCGGTGTAACGAAGTAAAGTGTTCTATGTACCGAGATAATCTCTTCGATGTAACGAAATAAAATGTTCTATGTATCGAGACAATCTCTTCGGTTTAACGAGATAAAGTGTACTATGTACGGAGATAACCTCTTCGGTTTAACGAGATAAAGTGTTACGTATAACGAGATAATCTCTTCAGTGTACGAAACAAAGTGTTCGGTGTAATAAGATAACTTGTAACGGTGTAAGAGATAAAGTGCTCTGTGTAACGAGACAAAGTGTTCTGTGAAACGAGATAATAACTTCGGTGTAACGGGATATCATGTTAGGTGTAACGAGATAATAACTTCGGTGTAACGAGATAATTTCTTCGGTGTAAGAGATATAAAGTGTTACGTGTAACGAGGTAATCTTTTCGGTTTAAAGAGATAAAGTGTTAGGTGTAACGAGATAAATCTTATCTCTATATAGTTAGGATACTATTACAAAACAGAGATATCGTCAAAAGGCAGTCGTTGAAGTTAACACGGGAGTGTACAGTGACTGGACATTTACCATGACTCTGTACCTCGTATATACAGCAAGATTAATAAGTTTTATTCCAAGGAAACAGTCGAAATAGAAAAACAAATATATAGGTTTTAGAAGTTGTCACGTGGGTACAGAGACTATATAAGAGGTATATTGATTGGCTAGTATCATTGTCCACTACCATCACTTACAGACGTACGACTGACTGATCAGCTTGAGATCATGTTAAGGTTACGAAAATGGACGCTGATGACGATGTGTGGAGCCACCTTAATATCGTATCATCGTTGACCTCTCTTCTCGCAGCTGGGGTGCCTGGCGGGATATTGTAATTGATTTCTAAATCAAATGATTTCCCATCAACCCCGAATCCCCAATCATTTTCCCTCGTCAAATCCCCGATCGTCCTTGTCATCCGCCATTCGCCCTCCCATTGCTGTACTCTGTCGTCCATGTCTTTCACCCTCCCCGTCTTTCTCCAACTATCATCCTCTAACCCACGATCGTCCTGGACCTCTTTCATGTCTTATTTAATCCACAATCTCCTAACCGCTCTATCGTCCTTGACCTTTCTCGTGTTTTACTCCTCTCTTGACCTCAACCCCACCGTCGGCCTTGACTTCCCTCCTATCTTACCCTTCCGTCTCATCTATACACCTGTATTGTCCTTGACCCTCACCTTGACCCTTTACTATGTTCTACTTACACCGTCCTTGACTTCTCTAATCACCACACTATATGCACCTCTGTTAGCAAAATTTGGCTTCATCGTCTTCTTCTACTATCTCAATTCTTCTTTTTGACTAAGAAAATAATTTCTATTTTGACATTAAACTGAATAAACCCACGTGCAGTGTATGTTTTCAATTCAGCCTAACCTGGGAGAAATGTATTATGGTTGACCGAAAAGATTAGCTTACTGTAGTCGTACAACCCCAAGTAATGATCCTTTTATCGCCGTCTCATCTCTTACAACCCAAGAGTATGGCCCCTTTATCGCTTGCCCTCGGCTTCTGATGAGTTTAAGGTGGCGTATTTACATAGCACGCGCTGGTTAGTGTATTACCTTATCGATTACGAGATCGATTAATACTATTAGCACGCGATGGCCCCATACTGACCTGACGTCACGTCCCGTGGGGGTTGATCCACTTGTTACTGTCCAGGATTGTTTACATACCAACGTGTGGTCGGTATGGCGGCCATTTTGAAAGTCGACCGACCACAACCTGTACTGTATCTTCATCCACATGTTCGGGCACTCGTCAGAAATCTTATTGTGTATCGAGTGTTTATTGACCATTGTTCTAATTATACCCAAGCTTTATTTACATTCTAGGGAAGGGATAATTTAGTCCCCATTTCGGGTTTGATGTAGTAGATAACCTGTACACCAGACATCGGTCCTACCTTTACATTGTGTGGGTTGAATGGTATGTGTCCATATTTCAAACGGCTAATCTATAATTACATAACACTCGACTACTCCTGCACGGAAACCCCAGAAAATATTTATATACTAGACGATGTTAATTTTGACAAAACAAGAGTTATACAATTCCGTTTATACAATAACAGAAGAATAAGATTTTGTGTAGGAATAAAATGAAATCTATCACCTCTTCAAAGATGTTTTGGGAGACTTTTAAATATCTTTGAAGTCGCTTCAAAGGGTCATATATAAGCCTTGCTTTGGTGAATGCTACACTATTATATGCATTGAGACATGGGACCTACGATTTGTCTAACTCTGTCGAAACTGTAACACAACCCGTCACTGAAAATGTCTTTTAGAACAGCACTACATATTTAACTCAGTCAGATCAGAAACATAACCCGGTAATGAACCTTTCTTATAGAACAACATTACTTATCTAAATGAATTTCAATTTTAAAATATATTAAGATATGGATATAGAGGTAGTGTCTGCCTGCATCAATTATTTATCCTATTGTATCCTATTGTACATCTAACCAAGTAAACATGTCCTTTAGAACAACATAACCCGGTAATGAACATTTCTTTTAGAGTAACAATGACACAATGCGGAACATAACCATAAAATAGCATTGCGCGAAATCAAACGCTCCGGGACACTTCGCTCGTCTTGTCTAAACGTTATATAACATATATAAGAAACTCTTACAGCAACTTGGACAATTTTTTTTTAATAATATTTGATCATCTTAAAGTCGAGTGTTGTCGACGTTGAAAATGTGTTTCTTTGTGGAATAACAGGTTCCCAATATTGTACGAAAAATCTTAACCTAAGCCGTGTCAGAATTGAATATTCAAGATCCTTCCATTTCAAGAATTTAAGAACATTTTTGTTAAATACTCCCGGTACTGCATGCCTTATTGTTAGTCTTGTAAAGAAACAGCTCAACAATTTGTACATACAGTCCAAACCGTATCGGAACTTCCGCCTGAGGAACGATGTTCTGTTATCCGACCATCCGTTCAAGATGACATACAGATCAGGATTCCATACATAATCTGAGGTAAGCTTTTTGATACCGACAAATACTTCAAAGAAACAGGTCCAGATTATCTACCGTACTTGTTATAAATATCCTCCTGTCGATAAGGCGATTCCCGGATCAGGCGATAGTCGGGGCACGTGCGGCTCCTTGCTGCTCTCACTTAAAACACATCGGGGGTCCTTCACTTGTTACGGCCTGGGGTCGCCTGTGGTCAAGTGGTGGGGATCATGCCACGTGCTTCGTGGAACAGATATTTACTAAGGCGAGGGTCAGGTAATAACAGCTATTGGATGGTGTACCAGGGGATGAGGGCTATTTTGGGGGTGCTCGGTATTGAAAGGGCTAAAGCTGTAGAGATATGTTGAGTACTGGAGATTGATAAACGCAGTATTACACAGGGACCAGCGATATGCCAATCACCGTAACATAATGGTATTCGGCCTGAAAACCTTGGGAATTCCGATGATATTTTTTATTATCGATTAACGAAAGTCATTTCCAGGATGTAAGCCATACAACGCGTTGTCGTGAAGCGCTATTGGTGAGCTTAAAGCCCCCGTAGAGATGCTCTATGTGGGGTTTACCGGGAGCTCTGAAATCTCATCACAAATAAGTATAACGGGTCTCCTTAATCAATCTTGATGTCGTGTATTTTAGCGGACGGCACTGTAAACAGCGAAATCTGGATACAGCTGACCTTTCAATGGAAAAATACACAGAAGCAATATCTTTAGATCATATGACCTTTTTTTATAATTGGTTTTCGTAAGATTTCAAACATATTCTGTTTAGTATCCAAACATGTAACTTAATGCGTTATCATCTATATATCACTTTCTTGTTCCTACATGTATTTAACAAATGTCGTTAGTATTCAATACTGGTCGCGCGGCGGTCCGATGTTCATCATTATACTAGGCGTATCAACTAAATGACCTGATAATCAATCCCTGATAGCATCGTTCTGACCAAGAGTGCCCTGGTGTTGACCTGACGTAGCCTTTCGAGGTCCCTAGGGACCGCATCAGGTGTCGGCTCCCATTACGTGATGTCGCGAGCGGAGGGTCATTTACACGTGTAGCATGTGGTCGAGACCACGGTCATCATAATCAGTGGGAAGTTACGTGGATTTCGGATTACTCATGTTACCGGCGGCTTGTCACTGTTCTGTAGAGAGTATCAGAGATTGTCATTCCTTTAACACACATGTATTGGGAGAGTTACGGGGATCTGTATAAATCCGAGATGGCTTGTTGCCCTTCTTATGGACACCTTTTTTCGGAACTAAACAAAACTAAAGCCAAATGTTTGTGATGCAAGTAGGTGCCCGTATTTCTTAAAAAGCGACCAGAACGGGTAAAATATAATAAACGATTTTCAGCAACATTTATCCTTCTCTGTCGACGATACTTCATCTTATTTCATTGGTATTTTTTCATCTTATTTTATTGGTATTTTTGAATATATGCGGCATCTGTCTTCTTTAATTCCTTTTTTCGTCTCATCAGTTGCACATCATACACAGATTGAATACGAGGTGTTTTCTTATTGTTCACAGAACAAGTCGAGCGATGTCTGTTGCAGAACCTTTGACCTTCAAATCTAAAAAAATAATCCAAAGAACGCATTTACGGTAAGGAAACAGTGCATATTGGCTCACTGGAGATATTGATACCAGCAGCACTTTCAATATGGAGGCGGTGTTCTAGGTTTGATAATTTAAAGCTAACTTTGGCTACTAGTAACAATGCCCGTGGCCTTTGACTTCCAGAAAAACAATCCAAATCAATGATTTCCCGCGAGATTGAAATTCGACTTTTGATCTACCACGGTGAATCAAGTTATATTTCGGAAACCAATTTCCTATTCATAAAAACACACTGGCCTTGACCTTTGGCATGTGAAAGCAATCCAAAGAAAGCATTTTCATCGAGGAAGCACTGTAAGACGTTTGGGTAGATTTGGCCCAAAGGAACTCGCATTATTGTGCAAAAAATAGAGGAGTTGCGGACGGACTGATATGTGAATACGGACGGACGGATATGTGAATACATATATCTCCTCCGATTTCGATCGGGAGGATCATAAAAAACTTGGCACTTATTTTTTTATGTTTTATATTAAAATGATTGTAAAAAATAAATCCTTTCACTGCATTTACCTTGTGAGTATATTATCATTTTAAATCAGCACGTTTTAGTTTTTAGATATGTGTATCGATTACATAAGACGAACATTGGTTTTGTTCCTGACAAATATACAAACACTCAAAGGTTAATCCGGGAAATACAATACATTTTGAGAGAATACCTGTGCACAAATATCTTAAGCTACGTCATTATTGCACCTGGTAAATTTAGGGAAGTAGAGAGGTTTAGCAACCGTACGTGTACCAGTAGCTTACACGTACCCGTACTTGCAAGGTTGCTAAACTTCCTTAATACGTATGCTTTCCTGTGATACATTTTTTTTCAGATAGATACAAGAAGACGTTAGTAATCCCATCACTCTACGGAACAAAACTCAAATACCGTAGTAAATCGGGCGCAAATATGTTCTGCTGCAGAAAAGACAAATAATGCCGTGGAAATGAAAAATGACAACATCTCGCAAAGATGATTTGAACAATTTCCAAAAGTTTCGTAATTTTATAGCTCGTTATCATGGAAACATGAAAATAACGAAAATAAAAACTCCATGCTAGCTTAAACCACTTACTTACATTTCGTAAACATATTTTGAATGGTTTACGAGTTATCGTCTGGAAACGGAAAACTTTGATTAGTTTGCAAGTTGTGCGTGTGCAAGGAAACGTTGAGAACAACAATAAAGAGTTTGTAAAAATATCATGAATAATGTTCTTGTACTGGTCCGATAATGTCGGTCGGCCAGAGAGGTGAAGGCTGGGAGAGTCGGTAAAAAACGACCGACTGATATTTACTCTGGGGACACCAGTATAGAAAACCATAGTCCAGTGATACACTAATGGAACTCATTGTTATTAAAAGTTGTAGGGACGGCAAGTGTATCATTTCAGGTAAAGCAACAATGAGACTATTGTCGGTGAGAGTTAGTTGATTATTAATTTTAACATATCATATGACCGTTGTACTAAATGTAGATATACGACAGACGTGATAGATATGCGAGATATTCTCAAATTATGGTGTTTTTACAAATATTTTGGGTTTCGTGCACAATGTTTGTGAAATCCGTGTAATACTATACCAGCCCTACTCCAACCAAATCATTTTCCGCAATGGAATAGGCTATGTGTCATTATATGAAAGAAAGGAATTTGTCAGTTTATCTTACAAATGTGTCTCATCTATATCGCGAGGTGCAGCTTTTTTCCCGTGATTTTTCGGTAGACTGAACATAGAGCCCAGCAGACAGTCTGGCCTCTTTTTGTTCACAGGTCATCGGTCGGCGTTTGCTCTCTGAAGTTAATAGGAATTCTGATGTGGTACTTTTGAGTCCGAAGCCATGATATGCTTTGCTGCCTATATGATCAATGTGCTAGATTATGAAATATTATTAAACATTTAACTGTAGCCACTAAAACAATTGAAGGACCTAGTAAAGAGAGACAATCCTCTTACGTTGGCGGATTACCCTCCTTGCCGCCTCATTCTACCTTAACCGAGCTCAAGTATATGCAATAGAAACCATGTAAGAAACACAGGTTACTGAATATATCACTTTCCAACAGTTCTGTTAATGGGTGTAGGCATGTTTTTGTTCCATGCCGAGTAACACATAATACTACCAGCAGGACAGACAAGTACATGTATATAATCTATATAGAGCTAGTCTTGGTATTTCTAAAATATGACAGCTAATTTTCAATTTATGGATAAGATGGAAATTTATATTTTGGAGATTTATCTGCTGCTGCCGGGTGTCAATGTGTTGACAGATTTACCTCCCTTAGACAATTTGTACATTTGACGGATTTATCTCCCTTACACTATGAAATCGCTTCATGTTAGTAGCTATATAGTCAAACCTTACAATACTTTTTTCAACTTGCTACAGATTGCTTGTAAAAATATCCTTTTAATGCCGTCAGACAAGTCAGTTTGAAAAAACAAACAACTTTCACTTCTCCATAAAAGGATTGGCTATGTTACATACAAACTCATATATCTCTTTGCATGAGAAGATTACCAATAATTAAATAAAAAATATCCTTTAAGATAACACACCAATACTTCTTGTGTTCTTACTGTATTTAATTTCATCGTAAAAGAATAAATATGTCACTGATCACAATATTCCTGGCACAGTTCCTTAGCAAACTTCGTAATTGTTCTTTTAGTAACTTTCAAGTCTTCTTTTTTGAAATATTTCTGTGACTGTATTTCCCAGAATTCCTTATTCCTCTCAAAATATGACATCACATCCTCTTCCTCTGACTTGGGAGGTACATCGCATCCTTCCAAGATCGCTGCAATGTCCTCGTCTGAATCATCTGAATATAATAAATTCTCTCAATTATTTGCTAAGACAGTTTACAAAAAAAAATTATAAAAATAATGAATCTTGAAAAAGAGTTCAGAAAACTGTTTAATTTCAGTGATTTACCTTCATCATCATCTTCATCATCGTCATCATCATCTTCCTCTTTACCTCCACTGGCCCCTTTGGTCTCATCATCAGAGTCTGACTCGTCCCAATCCTTAATTTCAGAAAAATACAATCTGTCATTAATTTCGAAAAACATAAAGTAGCTTGCAGTCATTGGTTCATTAATTTGCTTTTTAGAAATTATCACAACACTTTAACCTAAATAAAGCGGTAACCAGAAGAATTTACTACAAAGCAGAACCCCAACAGTTAATCATCCTGTGGTTGTGAAGTCCTCCACACAGATAGGGTCTCTAACTAGTCTATTACTAACTTGTACATTCTATTTAATCTATAAATGAAACCATTTTTGAACAAATCTGAAAACTCTTTTATATTGTTCTGATTGTCATATCCACCAGCAGAATTATGATTGTCATATCCACCAGCAAAATTATGATTGTCATATCCACCAGCAAAATTATGATTATCATATGAACCAGCAGAATTATGATTGTCATATCCACCAGCAAAATTAAGATTGTCATATCCACCAGCAAAATTATGATTGCCATATGCACCTGCAGAATTATGATTGCCCTACCCACCAGCGGACTTATGATTGTCATATCCACCAGCAAAATTAGGATTGTAATGTCCACCAGCAGAATTATGATTGTCATATCCACCAGCAAAATTATGATTGTCATATCCACCAGCAGAATTATGATTGCCATATCCACCAGCAGAATTATGATTGTCATATCCACCAGCAGAATTATGATTGTCATATATGATTGTTATATCCACCAGCAGAATTATGATTGTCATATCCACCAGCAGAACTATGATTGTCATATCCACCAGCAGAATTATGATTTCCATATCAACCAGCGGAACCATGATTGCCATATCCACCAGCAGAATTATGATTGTCATATCCATCAGCAGAACTATGATTGTCATATCAACCAGCGGAACCATGATTGCCATATCCACCAGCAGAATTATGATTGTCATATCCACCAACAGAATTATGATTGTCATATCCACCATCAGAATTGAGATTGTTATATCCACCAGGAGAACTATGATTGTCATATCTACCAACAGAATTATGATTGTCATATCCACCATCAGAATTGAGATTGCCATATATGATTGTCATATCCACCAGAAGAATTATGATTGTCATATATGATTGTCATATCCACCACATATAACACACTCTTGAAAGATGCAATATCAATGTCACAAGACTTTCTCTATTAAGTTTACAGAAGCATTTTATAGTTTCTTGAAAGAAAGTTTTTCTGATTTATTCATTATACATTACACAAACTTTATGATGAAAAAACACTTCAAGATGAAAGTTGTAACAGTTAAATAAAACTAGAAAATGTCTGCAAGACCTTTGTATAAAGTTTGATAAAAATTCATCAGGACATAAAATTGGTTAACTGGTGACACCAAATTAGATACGGTATGATTTTCTATAAATAGCAATGATGACCTTGGCCTTGATCTTTGAATCCTAAGACATGAACTCTTCTGCTGTATTTGCATACTTTTGACATTTGAATGAAGTTTGATGAAAAACTGTCATAAAATGCAGTTGCCAGTAAACGTTTATATTGAATCGTGACGCAATGGAACAGACATGGGCAATATGGGCAATGTTATATACCCCCTGGAGACTGTTCATTTGGTTTCTGAAACGATTTTAGAACCATTCTGAATAAATATGAAAACCCAAACCAATGTTTATGATAATAATAAATTGATTGAGTATACCTAATTGGAAACTAAACTTGTTTATTGGCAGTAAATTATGTTCTGATTGTATGTATAATGTTTTAAGAATTACTTGTCATGTCTTGGGGAGTGTAGAAAACATAAATGTGTTGACATCAGAACACATGTTAGGGAGATTTCTCTCCCAATGGTAGGGACATTGATATTTGTTATTCTTAAATTAAGACATGTTTTATTAACAATGATTGAAACAGTAGTCTCTAAACAGAAGGCACTCACTTATTGGTGTTAATACACATTTTCAATAAGTTAGGATTTTGCAACCTCCTATTCGATTATAGGTAGATTCTTCTTGTTCAGAGGAGTTTAATGTTTCATTTATTAGGTCTCTATTAATAGACACATTTTAAACAATTTAGGATTTCGGAACACCATATTCAATTATAGGTAGATTCTTATTCTTCAGAGGAGTTACATGATTTGAAGGTAAAATAAAGGGTACTCCCTATGAAATAGAGAGACATCACATGTTTGAGAAAAACATACCAGTGTCTGTTTGTTCTGTATAAGTACTGTCCACTCATCCAGTTTGTGTAGATCTAGGGAGTAGAAATCAGAGAATGTGATCTGTCTGTCTCCCACCTCACACAGTCCTCCATACAGAAACAACTCCCCGCCTCTCACCGTCATCAAGGCCCCCATCCTCGATGGAGGAATAAACACCTCAACATCCATATCCCCCTCCCCAATGTCCTCCGCCTGTCCAGCAGATTTCGCACCCATTGTGACCTTGAAAATGTCCTCTTCCCCTCCCTGTCCGAGCTCCTGACTTGACCCCTGACTCGACTCCTGGACATTACCAAGGTCACAGGTACTACTGTTTGTGTCCTGACTTTGAACGTCAGTTTCATGATCAAGTTTTAGTTTTTTTATATCATCTTCTGCTTCCTCAACATCCTCATCTTCCATATCTTCCTCTTCTTCCTCTTCTTCTTCTTCTTCTTCATCATCATCATCATCCTCTTCATCAATTCCATCGCCCTGACCTTCATTCTTTTTCTTCCTCCTTTTCCTTTTCTCTGTATTTGTGGATTTATTTCCTCTAAAAGAAAAATATTCAAGGTTTTAAAAATGTCCATAATTGATATTAAAATTCACTGTCAGGATAAAATAACCCTAACTGCAGAGGACAAAATAAGTCAAAAGATGAACTGCAGAAAAAATCCTGGTTTTCAGTATATACCACTTTGTTGAAGTGTACATGTACAAGTTCAATCCTGGGGGTAAAGGAAACCACTTGACTCGTGAAGTCAACCAATAGCAGGGGGAATCATCTAAATGCTGACAAATCATAATATACTTGTGGGTAAGAGGGTGCTATTAAACCTCCACAGCTTGACCAATGTACTTGAAGGGGACCCATCTGACCTCCCCTGTTTGATCATTAAGATCCTACCTGAGAGTGAGGGGGAACCACTTGCCCCTCTCCAGATCTAGTATGTACATCTCGTTAAAGATCCTACCTGAGAGTGAGGGGGAACCACTTGCCCCTCTCCAGATCTAGTGTGTACAACTCATTAAAGATCCTACCTGAGAGTGAGGGGGAACCACTTGCCCCTCTCCAGATCTTGTGTGTACATCTCTTTAAAGATCCTACCTGAGAGTGAGGGGGAACCACTTGCCCCTCTCCAGATCTAGTGTGTACATCTCGTTAAAGATCCTACCTGAGAGTGACGGGGAACCACTTGTCCCTCTCCAGATCTAGTGTGTACATCTCGTTAAAGATCCTACCTGAGAGTAAGGGGGACCCACTTGCCCCTCTCAAGATCTAGTGTGTACATCTCGTTAAAGATCCTACCTGAGAGTGAGGGGGAACCACTTGCCCCTCTCCAGATCTAGTGTGTATATCTTGTTAAAGATCCTACCTGAGAGTGAGGGGGAACCACTTGCCCCTCTCCCGATCTAGTGTGTATATCTTGTTAAAGATCCTACCTGAGAGTGAGGGGGAACCACTTGCCCATCTCCAGATCTAGTGTGTACATCTCGTTAAAGATCCTACCTGAGAGTAAGGGGGAACCACTTGCCCCTCTCAAGATCTAGTGTGTACATCTCGTTAAAGATCCTACCTGAGAGTGAGGGGGAACCACTTGCCCCTTTCCAGATCTAGTGTGTACATCTCGTTAAAGAATAAACTGTCCATGTCTTCTTCATCCTCCACCTGTGGGGAAAACATGGAACTATGTCATCAATTACACAAATACAGAAAGCACATGTCTCTGTCAAGGAGATAACATATGTCTGAGTTATAAAATTTACCACTTTACCCAGAGATAGCTCAACTTATAATAGCCATGCTACGATAATCATGATTAAAATAGTTTAACTTATCTTGAAAAATATAAACTTATTTATTTTACAACAATTTTGAAACAAGCTTATCAACTTGTATGCATCACTCCTGTTCGCCCAGATGGAAGCGTGCAGAGGGTCTTATTGACGGAGGAAACTGGACAACGTAGAACAAAACCATTTGTCTTGTTGAATGACAAGTGCACTATCCACTGCGCCATCTGACCACTGAACTTTTTTTAATCCAGATTACTCTATGAAGATACAAAAAATATTCTCAAAGAAAAATGTATTGTCCGATAGGCTGCATACCTGGTCATATACGCCTCCGAAGCAGACAGCCCTGTTGCCCGGAGTAACAGCCAACGACATACCACATCGTGGTGAGGGTTTGGTACCGGACTGTTTCATATGGACCCACTTCCATTTGAGTGGGGCATTCTCATCTTTCACTTTACCTGTGACAAAAGTGCATAGCTGTTGATGAAGTATTTCACTCATTCACCCCTGAAATTTCATAATGCACTATTCCAACCATTGAATTGACCAAGTTCAAATGTCTCTTCAGGGATGAATTAGTTAAATAGTGACGTTCATGTTTGTGGTAACTCAAGAGAGATAACCCATGTGTGATAACGCCATAGAAATTTTGATTAAAGTGTTGAACAAAATTATGGATGAAGGAAGAAAAGAAATGGGAATATAACCAATTTGCTTGTGATATTTTATTGTAAAATATTAATAAGCTACCTTGATGTTGAAAAAACTATGAAACAGACCTTGGAGCTTACCAGTAGTGAATAAAGCCTTATCTGAGAATCTAACAACAATTTCCATATAAACTGTGAATGAAATAAATATTTTAAATATTTTTCTAATCAATCAAGATTTTCTAGTAAATCAATTATCCAGAATTTTAATTTGATCTCTTAGCCACTCTCCGAAATCTTTGAAATCCATGTGACCAAGTTTGAACTCACCTTCTGTGGTTAGCACAACCATGTCTGTGTGGACCGTGCCCTTGTCGGCATCACGTTTGAGCTTTTCCTTGCTGTAACCCCCGTAGATAATGACCTTAGTTTGGTCTGGGATGGCAGCCATCACACAGCCCGACCTGGGGGCTGGCGGGGCTCCCGAGGGTTCGAGTTTGGTCCACGAGTAGGTTTCCAGGTCAAAGGCATACACATCATTGTAGTATTTATAATCCCTACAGAATGAGTAATATTAGAACTGGTACTAGTCCTGACAAATCTCAGTGTTTATCTATTGTACTGTAATTCTTTAGATCAAGTCATGCTCAACATTTAGTAGATTGTTTACAAAGAAATGTACCATATTCAAATAAATCAAAAAACTAATATAAAATTGTGCAATAAACTAGAGTTGTCAACCTTGGCTAATTTTATTCTGTCCGTATAACCAGTTAATCGGTCAATTTTGTAATCCATCAATAAACAATAACAAATATGTATTATGTTTATATTCAAAACCTATTTACACTATAAAAATATAAATTAGCATGAAAAATTAGTCACATGTCAAATCTCACACCTAAACACTGAAAGTACATACACATAACCTCAGTATAAAGTATATTTTATGGACAAAAATGGTCAAAATGAAGCAGGATGCAATACAAGTTATAAAGTTATTTTTACTCAAAATCATGTGGTTCTATTTCTGTTGATAGACACACTCTCTTTCATAGATGTTTGCACCTTTTGTAGTGTTTCACTGATTTCATTCAAATATACTGTCTACTTTCTGTAGACCATTTAACACACTGCACATCCTTCCCATCAAGCATTTGACAACTTTACATTCTGGCCCCCTCTTTGTATTCAGACTTTTATGGTACTGGCAGCATCTCTTTGACAATATTTACTACAGAGAACAAAAGCAACACTAACAGGTCAGTGTTAGTACTACCTTTATTACCAAAACATTTGATACTTGGTACGTCTAAGCCAGCTTCACACGGGGCTCCCCATGGGGTAATCAAAAGACTGACAATTTGGTGATGGATTTTTGTAACTGGTTTTGGACTTTCGACCTTGTTAACCAGGTGACTGTTCAAAACTATATAACACTGTATGACATCTACTTGAGTATAATAGGCCTCTTACCTGACATTGTCATGGAAACCACCAAACACGATGATGTGCTTTTTGCAGTGAACCATTCGGTGTCCACTTCTACTGGTAGGAGCCCCCGGGGAACTGTAAATACACCAAAAATATTATCATCCTGCAAAATCTATGGAGATCATGATGCGAGTACATTTATATCTTGAAAAATATATAAATGTTTAAGTTGTTTTACATGTACATCTGTTTTTATAAAATCTAATTTAGCAACTACCAATTCACATATTTTGGGATTAACCCTTTCACCACTGCAGACCATAATTGACTCATCTGCACAAATGGATGGTAGCATCTACTAAAGTTACCTAGGGGTGAAGGAATTAGAATAATGTTCTTCAGCAAAGATTAAAAACTTTAAAATTGTACTTTATGTATCAATGAACTTTGATTTGATATAGATCTCTTACTTGATCTTTATATTGAATGACCTTCACTTTCTGACCTTCCAAAATAAGTTCATTTGACCCTGACCTACCTGCTCATTACAAGGAATGACTGGGACTTTCCTGATCATTAAAAACAAGAAATGACCTTGACCTTCTTGACATTTTCTTGGCCTACCTGATTTTCTCCCATGCCTTGTCCTTGATGTGGTAGACCCAGAGTTCTTTGTAGTGGTAGAACTGAGACTGTGTCGGACTTGCGAACTCTCCTCCAAATATCCACAGCTGTCCGCCCCCCTGTTTTAAGGCTAGAGCCTACAACAAAAGAAACACCAAGGTCAAAGATGTTCATGTCTTAAGGATCATTGTTGGGTCCCATAGGCTGATGGGAGCTCTAGGGAGTTGGTGCATTGCAGATATCTGATGGAAGATGTGGAGAATGAGGTGATATATACCCTAGACAAGGGGGCCTTGTTCAGATAATGACTGATCTGGTGAGTGGGTCCTTGTACCTGATAGAAGGTCTGAAAGTGAGCAAGTAGACAAACACTTGACGAAAGTTCTGCAGAGTGGGGATGGTCTTTGGATACCAGAACTTCTGGAATTTGGGACACTACTGTTTAAATGTTTTTTCGCTGGGCTATTATTTTGCAATTATTCCGATCAGAACTACTTTGCGGGATTAAATTTGGACAACATGACCAGATAAAAATATCGAACTCACGAGGGTACTTTTGTATTTTGGTGATGGCATTTATTTTACAAGTGTTTTATATAATTGAAATAAAATGTGATGTTGAATTGGTGTTTTATCTCAGCAGTTAACGGGTAAACAGATTTTTTTTTCTTTTCCATCTGTAATCTGTAAATATAAATTCACGGATATCATTACTTATGTTAATGATATTCACTTGGTTTTCAATTTTGCATTATTGTTGATGAAAAGGAAAATAGCAAATTTAAATACCCAGCAAATATTGCCAACTTTACAATATAAGAAAATGAGAAGAGCTTTGGTTTTGAAGACATCTAATTGAGGCAGTGTACAGATAATAGAAATGAGCTTCAGGAAGTGGATGTAGGGAGTATGAATCATACAGAGATATCTGATGGAGGCAGTGTTTAGTGTTCAGATACCTGATGGGAGCTCCTGGGGGTGGGAGCATTAGGGGCTGTGACCTTGGTCCACTCCTTCTTCTTAATGTTGTAGAAAAACAGGTCGTTGTACATGTAAGTCTGAAAAATAAACAAGTTGACACCGTACAAAAACATATATACCTTCTCAATAATAATACATTTAATATATTTTGGAAAGAATTGGAAAAAAAATTTGACACTGAATGTTGTTAATGACAATATCAAATTATCACATTTCATTGGAAATACTCACTGTTATTTCAAAAGTATGTTATTTCATCCTAAAAATTATATTTGTTATTCTCATTATAATAACTTTGAGGTCGTACTACAATGAACCTTGTACATTTGTGTATCGATAACCACATCAGTAAGCTTGACACAATGGAATTAAATCACTAGGCAGTTATACTTACATCTCTATCAAATAGTAATCAGTCACTTAGTACAAGTAGTTACATTCAAAATAACCATTGTGGTAATTTGACCTGATTATGGACCAATGAAACACACTTCCTTGTCATGATACTCACAAATGTGAGGTTTCATCAAATAACATTAGGTAGTCCAGTCGTTAGTTGGACAAGCATTGTAGTGATTTGACCTTTGACCGCTTGCTTGAATTTGACCTTGAGGTTAAGGACCTGCAATGGGTATGCAACTTACCATTTTGTCACGATTTTCATTTTCATGCAGTAGTTACAATTAGGACAAACATTGCAGTGATATGACCTTTGACCCCTTGCTGTGACCTTGACTTAGAGGGAAAGGACCTTTGTGTGTGTACAACACCAAATATCATTGCTTCTAAAAACCTGAATAAACAAGAATGACACCATTCCTACCTTATTACCGGTGCAGTACTCTCCACCAAACATGATCAGCTCTTCCTTGGTAGGATGAGCAGTCAAAGTCATATTGCACCTGAAAGGAAAGAAAAACAAATATCGTTAAATGTTGATTCTGAAATCTTTCTTTCTCAACTGATACACTTAGCAATTAATATTTAAGAAAACAAATGAGGATGGGCCAGGTATCAATCCAGGTTTTAGGGGAAATTACCCTTTTTCAGATTTGGGGGGAATTGAAATTTTGATACAGGGCTCTAGGGTCATGAAGGTAAAAGATAAATGTTTTGTACGACATACATGTGTGCAGTATATTTCAATTTTTAAACAGTTTTAAGCTTAAAATTGTAGAATTTTTGTTTAAATTTAGTGGAGAAAATGTACATGCAGTATTATGCATTTAACTGTTGAACTTTAAAGAAAACATATATAGGGGAAATGTTTTGAAGAAATAACAGCTATTTTCTGGTTCAAAAAGGGGAATTTTGAAGCACACAGGGGGAATTTCAAAGAATAGGGGAATTTTCTTATGTAGGGGAAACTACCCATAAAAGGTTGTGAATCAAGTCTAGATTGATCCCTGTGGGTCTATGAGTCTACTAGTGCTGATATTAATTCCTCATTTTGGATGGTGAAGTAGTAGAAACGGTATACATACATGATGTATAGAGATACACGCAGTGATTTTATAATCATTTAAAGGCACTCAAATGGACCCATTTCATTTGTACTTAAAAAGTCTCCAAAAAATATCGCACCATAATTATTAAAGACATTTTTGTCTATATTTCTTGTCTAAACACAGATATTATTGCAGAACACACCTTTTGATACTATATTCGAATGAATGCTAAAATTCATAAATGGGAATCAATTTTTGTGACAATGTATGTACAGTAGATTTCGCTTAATATCACTTCCCATTTGTCAGAGAAAAACATGATATTAACATAAACATGACATAAACAGAATACGTATTTTCTGACGTTTTTCTGCCCTCAAAACCGGAAGTGAACTTAGTCAAAAGAGGAGTGGCTCTACGAATTGAAGAAGATTGTAAAATAAAGTTATTTTGTAACTAACCTTGTTCTTTACTCTAGTTGAAAATAGTATACGTAAATAAGTATACTATTTTCAACTAGAGTAAAGAACAAGGTTAGTTACAAAATAAAGATATTTTGTAACTAACCTTGTTCTTTACTCTAGTTGAAAATAGTATACGTAAATAAGTATAGAAATAAATATAGTCTTTGTAATTTATTTCAGTATGCAGTTACATTTCATATATATAGTTAGTAGTTGTAATATAAATGTCAATATTTTCTGATTTTGGAAAATTGGGCCAAAAATTCCAAACATGCTTGGTTTTAAAATTTGTGAGATTCACCCCTGGAATAGAAGTCAACACAATGGTAAAAAAAATATGAATAGAGACAAGAGGCCCAATTGGCCTGCATTGCTCACCTGCTATTAATCTCACACTTATAACCTCAAAAGTGATCTAAAATAAAGCTACATGCAAAATATCAGTATTTATGACTACAAGTCATTCAAAAGAACCTGTTAAAAGATTTAAAAACATTTCACCCATGTGACCTTGAAAGTCGAACAAGGTCATTACGTTGAACAAATTTTATAGCCCTTCATCTCAGGATGCAACTTGCAAAATATCACCACCGTATCCTTTTGTTTATTGAGATTAGGTCATTTAAATGTTTATACATATTTGACCAAATGTGACCTGAAAGTTGGTCAAGCGCATTCAAACAAAAAAGCTTGATAACCCTTCATCTAAGCATGCTACTGGCTAAATATTCAGAATATGTCTTTTAAAGATTTTAAACATATTTGATCCCCGTGACCTTGAATAAATGTCAAGGTAATTCATTTGAACAAATTTGGTAGCCCTTCATCTTAGCATGCTACTGTCCAAATATCAACATCCTGGGCATTTTGGTTATTCAGAAGAAGCTGTTTAAAAATATTAATCATGTTTGACCCCTGTGACCTTTAATATTATTCAAGGTCATTCATTTGAACAAACTTGGTAGCCCTTCATCCCAGCATGCTACTGGCCAAATACCAACATCCTGGGCCTCTTGGTTATTCCGAAGAAGTTGTTTAAAGGTTTTTCAGACAATAAACCCTGTTTTTTAGACAATAAACCCTGTGACATTGAATATGGGTGAAAGTCATTTATTTGAACAAACTTGGTAGCCCTTTATCCTAACATGCTACTGGCTGAATATCATCACCCTTTGCATTTTGGGCATTTGTCTTGGCAAGTTGTTTAAAGTTTTTTTTTTAGACAATTGACCCCTGTGACCTTGAATATATTCAAGGTCATTCATTTGAACAAACTTGGTAGCCCTTCATCCCATCATACTACTGGCTGAATATCATCACCCTGTGGATTTTCTGGTTATTCAGAAGAAGTTGTATAAAGTTTTTAACATATTTGACCCCCGTGACCTTGAATATTGGTGAAGGTCAATTATTTGAACAAACTTGGTAGCCCTTCATCCCAGTTTGCTTCTGGCTAAATATCATCACCCTAGGCCTTTTGGTTATTAAGAAGATAAGAAGAAGTTGTTTAAAGTAAAATATTGACGCTAGTCGACGGACACCGAACCATGGCATAAGCTCACTTGGCCCTTCGGGCCAGGTGAGCTAATAATGTAAATACATCATATTCATGTATAGATAGATATGGTATAGGGGATAGTGTAGTAGACTACTGTTAATATATGCATGCTAGAGGAAATAAAGGTTACCTGTCGGTGTCCTAGAAACAGGATGGGACACATCACTTATTAATTGAAAATTCTACAATTTTCACCACAATACCTCCAGGCTACCATATTTCTGATCAGTAGAATTAGTGATGTGTCCGTGCAACTTTCTCCAGAGACGTATATATACTCTGGCTTTATATACAAACCTTGGGGACGGGGGATTACATTTTTCCTCAACCACCTGAACTCTCTTCTTATCTTGGGTTTGAAACTCTGCAATCAGCCTTTCTATATCATCCTGTAACAGAAAAATAGATCCAAATAAAGTTTTATCTGTGTGTATTGCAACAGAAGCGGTTTCACCAAAGTTGAAGACATTTGAGGCTGTGTTACCTGTATTGTGAATAAATGAGATTATTACCCAATAGTCTATATAAATTATAATTAGTCATTTTTGACTGTATCTGGCCTTTTGTCCAAATTCGCCTGTAGGGGTGAAACAGTCAAAACTGTTTTCTCGGTCAGAGCGAACTGTTACCCGGCGCAAATTTAATGTGCAAAAATCCCCCCTCTAGAGCCCCGTTCAAGCGTTTCAGTGACCGCGACTCAGTGTTGAAGCAATGGCAACATTGCATGCAGCATTGATACTAATATTTATTTGGTAATAAAACAATTGTTTCATGGTTATTTTGGGGACAGTCAAAACTATCATCCCTCGGTAGGGGGAAGCCCTGGGGAACTGTTTGCCCGAGGCCGACAACCTAAACTGTTTTATCTGTGTTGGTGACAACCTAAACTGTTTTATCTATGTTGGTGACAACCTAAACTGTTTTATCTGTGTTGGTGACAACCTAAACTGTTTTATCTGTGTTGGTGACAACCAGAACTGTTTGATCTGTGTTGGTTACAACCTAACCTGTTTTATCTGTGTTGGTGACAATGTAAATTATTACCCAATAATCTATATAAATTATAATTAGTTATTTTTGACTGTTTCTGGCCTTTTGTCCAATTTCGGCTGTAGGGGTGAAACAGTCAAAACTGTTTTCCCGTCAGAGCGAACTGTTACCCGGCGCGAATTCGATGTGCAGAAATCCCCCCTCGAGAGCCCCGTTCAAGCGTTTCGGTGACCGCGACTCAGTGTTGAAGCAATGGCAACATTGCATGCAGCATTGATACTAATTTTTATTTGGTAATAAAACAATTGTTTCATGGTTATTTTGGGAACAGTCAAAACTATCATCCCTCGGTAGGGGGAATCCCTGTGGAACTGTTTGCCCTTGGCCTAGCGGCCTCGGGCAAACAGTTCCCCAGGGCTTCCCCCTACCTCGGGATGATAGTTTTGACTGTTCCCCAAATAGCCATGAAACAATTGTATACTGTTTTATCTGTGTTGGTGACAATGTGAACTGTTTTATCTGTGGTGGTGACATCGTAAACTGTTTTATCTGGGTTGGTGACAACCTAAACTGTTTTATCTGGGTTGGTGACAATGTAAACTGTTTTATCTGTGTTGGTGACAATGTAAACTGTTTTATCTGTGTTGGTGACAACCTAAACTGTTTTATCTGGGTTGGTGACAACCTAAACTGTTTTATCTGGGTTGGTGACAACATAAACTGTTTAATCTGGGTTGGTTACAACCTAAACTGTTTTATCTGTGTTGGTGACAACCTAAACTGTTTCATCTATGTTGGAGACAACCTAAACTGTTTTATCTGTGTTGGTAACAAGATGACAAGTCTTTTACCTGTGAGATGACCCGGAAGCTTATTTTCTGTTTTAAAAAGGAGGAAAATTATGAGAGTTTTACATGTTTTGGTGACAAAACTGAGACCGTTTTGCATGTATCATGGGATGACCAATATAATATGACTCTTTTATCAGTGTTTCTCAGACTGAAAAAACAGTGTCAGAAAATTCCATGTTGTAATAGAAGTACTCTCTGTCAAAATGTCAAAAGTCTGGTGTTGGGGCCAGAGAATACTAGGGCTACTCTTTTCACTCATGTATGCACTTGGAATATTTGTGATGTTTCACAGTGTATTGATTTTATGCTCGTTTTTACACAACCTTACCTGACAATTCATCAAACTAATTAGTCCTATTAAGATCAAAGCTCTTGGGCATCAACATGTGCATGTAAATAAATCTAATGTAATCCAACTGAGTCCATCAGTGAACTGTACCGCTAGCAGCCAAGAAACTTTAATACTCCTGATCAGCTCTTCTGGTTTTTATGGAGCACAACAGCTCCACACAGCCCATTAATATGCTAATTGATCATAAAAAGCGACTAGTAATTGGGTCATGGTATGTATTGAAAACCACTTTTTGTTTTAGAAATATTCAACACATAGAAAGTAGCTGTTTCTTATTTTAACTTTTAAATTAAAAAGAACCAGTCTAGGTCATCAAAAAGCTTACTGTAATAACATTTATCAATGGTGTTGAAGAGTTTGAAGGAATATGTTTAAAGGTGAGCGTGACCCTGGCAGAGATTTGTGAAACTAAGGCAGAAAACCTGAGCCAAAGATTTCTATCAGGGGAAAAATAAGGTGGTGTTGGTTTCTGCTGCAGTTGTTTCAATACATTTTGGTACTTCTGAAACTCTAGAATTCACATAGGTGTCACTTTACTTCCGAAACCTCCAATGATGGAGATCTCCCTCATTCCACATTTCAAGTGAGGGTGAAACTTAGAAAGACTAGTGTGTGAAACACAACTGAAACTGCTGAATTTGTCTTTCCCTTTTTATGTATGAAAATAACTCAAAAAACCTTCATTTGATTCAGACACACCTGTTACGATCATTACCCACACCCTACAATAACTAGGAGATCATTTGATTCAGACACACCTGTTACGATCATTACACATACCCTGCAGTAACTAGGAGATCATTTGATTCAGACACACCTGTTACGATCATTACACATACCCTGCAGTAACTAGGAGATCATTTGATTCAGACACACCTGTTACGATCATTACACATACCCTGCAGTAACTAGGAGATCATTTGATTCAGACACACCTGTTACGATCATTACACATACCCTGCAGTAACTAGGAGATCATTTGATTCAGACACACCTGTTACGATCATTACACACACCCTGCAGTAACTAGGAGATCATTTGATCACAGGATGTAGACTTTGAGTTTGTGTGAGTTTGGACTTGAATGAGGAAGTTTCGAGGAAGATTGGTAAAGTTTGGTCAAAATGAGTTTACTATAATTCCCTTGCCAATTGAGGGAGGTTTGACACCTATGTATTTATAAAGAAGAGTTCAAATTCAAAACTGTGTTTTAACTTCAGTTAATTTCCATGGTATAGAGAAAAGTTACTGCTCTTGTCAAATTATTCATATTTTTTACTTGTCCTGATTACTTTTCCTGAAAGTTTGAACCTGTCACCCTCCCAGCCCCTCCCTGACATCAATAAACATTAGTTAGATCTAAATATAATCAAATTTTGAACTAAAATTCAAAATGCATTTTCTTGAATACCTCTGTAGTAAACTGTATGGTGATCATGGGTAAGTATAATGAATTACACAAATTAATTTGATGAGTTCAAAGATATCAACGATTTCTTTGAGAAAGCAGTCTTGAGAATTTCTGAGAAGGGATGAAAGTAGCAGTACTAAATACAGCTGATGTGTCAAGCTTTTATCTGTGCTATTCGTATCATGCATATATCTATACATTGTGATCCAGGTTGTGAGCAAGGGTACTACGCAGGCCCTTTGGGCTTCACCATTACAAATCAAAGCCATCTTTAGTGTCATTAAAGCAGCCAAAGTTGCTGAAATTTCATGTCAAATTTAATGCAGTAGATTCAAAAAGCTGTCTTCTTTTTTATTTTGTTTTTATATTTAAAAATACATTAAATTCATAAACACGATGTACATACACGTTATGAAACGTGTATGTGGGTATGTTTATCTGAAGGTTTCAATACTGTAGCAAAACTGAACTAGGTTGATTGTCCGTGACCAGGTAGCTCAATAGGTAGAGCGCGTCCATCTAGAGTTTGAAGGGTACAAGTCTCAAATCCAAGTCTGGTTGTGCCTTTCTCTTTTTCCCCGTTACAAACTTTGTTTCAAGCACTGGGTGAATGATTGGCATCACTCCTATTACAATATGAACTAAACTGGCTGCCTGCCAAATATTAAAGAACTACCTGTCGTATAATACAGAGTACAACTGATGCCTTTCAATTAATTTGATCAGACATATCAGTGTAAGAAATTTGTTGTCGGCTCATCTCAAAAAGGTAAACTTTGATCATCATTTGGTGTAACCTTTTTCTCCTTTTTTCTTTGAAATGTTGTTTAATCTAAAATTTGACATCTGATCGCATGAATTTTGTGCACCCGCACAGACTTAAAATCAAACCAGCCATTCTTGAAGATAGCAAAAACATGGAAAATGATGAGCCCACAACAAATTCCCTACCTATATACTCTGACAGGGGACTGGATAAATTCAGTTAGATGCATAACTTAAGCTTAAGGCGTGTATCCAAAAATCATACAGCAATGAAGTTCTGGAGTCATATTTATTCTTATTCCGGACAAAAATATCTACAAACTACGACATGATATAATCGTGACGTTACCTCTCCCTTTTCTGCCAGTTCTTTTTTCGCCCTTTTATCGGCATTCTTTTCAGTCTTCAACGCAGTTTTTTCTTTCCCTTTCCCTTTTTTATCTTTCTTATTTTTCTTGCCCATCTTGTCAAATGATAACCACTGATCAGCAAGAAAGGAGCGATTTCGCGAATTTTGTTAGCCACATGGTTTCTACTCAATGTCAATCTGACGCTTGTGATTCCAACGTTCTGTGAACGCTGCAATTCAAACGTTTCCGCGAGGCTGATTTATTATAATTTCAACGATGCACTATGGAAATATTTCAAAACTAATCAATTAATGTGTTATGTTTGATTTCATACAGTTTCATGCTTGACTAACGTTAATAGGTAATGTCTTAGGAATAATGTTTTTCTTAACTTTCGGTATTTTTAAACATTGTTGTCATGTGGGATGTTTGCCATGAAATACGTCTTGGCGAGTCTACTTCAAAATGGGTGAACCAAATTTGCCTGGGTCAAGACCTTTAAATAACTGTTTACATTTACTTAAAATTTAATTTAGTATCATTGCCTTTTTACATAGCAACGGTATTTTACATAAATATCATGGCAAAAGAATAAATAAACTAAAACATTAACTTTAAAACTCTCTGTTTTAAACTACACCATTATATATTGTCTAAGTCAATGTGATACTGCCCAACTTCAACAAGTAAATTTTGAATGCTGAGATTAACTCTTACCAATAAAGTGTGCTGCAGGTTAGACCAGATGTAATATATTTGGGAAAGCACGGGATTACCCGATTTGAAACAAATATGTTCACATCATCTTTATCCAAGGACAAACCTTTTTAATCTTGAATAACAGTCTCAGATATAAAATAAAAATACAAATTGTAATTTCGAAAAGTGATACTGGCGTTTAATTGGAGGGAAGCTGATAAATCTACGGCTAATTATGATATCCTGTTATTCCCAGTGCTCTGAAAAACAACAAGTGTACTGAAAATGCCGTTTTAAATATCATTCCAAACAAATACTATCGCATAGTTTATAACCATTAAAAACAATCACGTTTCCAGGACTGGCTCCTGGGTCCGGCCTCACCCGCGCGTTGTGCAATGTCTGGGTCGAAACATGAAAGCATATATATAAACAATTGCTGTGCATGAAAAGTCGATTACATTCGCGTTTCAACGATTGACCATGTGATCCCCTTGGACCTATATTAACTCAGTCATTACATGAAAACGAGTGTTACAAACAACGGATAGGTATATGACGTATAATTATAGATATTGACTAAGATGTCGGACACCACTCTGGGAACTTACTCCCAGGGTAGAAATCAATCGCTGTATAAATGAATAATGTAGCCCCTGCTGAGGTCGATATCAATGCCCAAACGTCAAAATGAGGAATTCGATGTTTGAATTCCATTTCCTCTTGACAATGCAAGTGGATTGCGTTTCAATCAAATTTGAAACCTAGAGACGAAGACATTTATCGTTATGTAAATGAAGGGTGTTTGTCGCCCCTGCGGACAGAGCCAATAATGAGAAAGTGACATTATCATTAAAGAAAACATTTCGACGTGATAAGATGATAATCCAGGTGAGCAATACTGGCCGCCTTGGCCTCTTGTTCAGTATAGGTTAGTCAGCCTCGCTATTTTCCAAGGTTGGTCTCATCAGAGTGCTGATGTCTTTTTTTTATCTTCAATTAGAATTCATCAATGGCCTATAAAAGGCAATACGTACATACTAAAAATAACCTCCAATTATTGGTTACAACGAAAACTACATACAATTGATTTATTAATGAAAAACGTTTCTGTAGATCCATTCTTCAATTAAAACTTACTAATTCTTTTCATATAATATGTTTGTAGGACTAATGTACGGGAATTAACATTTCACGGCTGGAGCGACAAAAGAGGACAAATAAAGCAAAACCCCGGGAATTGTTTGTATGCTTGTCAGGTTTTAATTATACATCGTCTTCTAGTTATTTAGCTCATGCAGTTGGTAGAGCGATGGACTGGGAGGCTTGGGTTCGTTGGTTCGGTCCCCAGCGTAAGCACACTAAACTCCTCTTTCTTCCCTGCTACATACACACTCACTCAAATCTAAGAAAATTTGTTCACGGTGTACTGAGTCTTCCATGGGTTATGCTCATTCTACAAGGGTTATGCTGACTTAAAAGCTCTCTGCGCCCCTGGAATGTGTCATGACAAAAACTCAGTGGGGTCGCAGTGTGCGCCACCATGTGGATGAGACAAGGACTCTAGTTTGATCCTTTAATAAAGAATCTCGCGGTAGCGTAACGGTAAAATTGACTAGCTTTGAGATCGGCGTCGCTCCTCTGTTATCTCCAAAGGACATGTATCTTGTACATGAGACCTATCAGCGTGCCTTCAAATTTGCTATTCGTGACATATTCCAGAGACCCTGTCGTATTGAGGATGTGCATGGGTTGATCCACAGTGACCTGAGAATGTGTTATATTTTATTTAACGTCGCATATATTTGAAACAATAAAACATCAGCACTGTTGACTGTTATTCTTGCGACAAACATGAAGTATAATACACACACAATCACATGCAGGTAATTACAAAGACTAGTTAAATGACAAACAAATATCACAGAGGCAATTTAACAAGTAAAACGAAAGTACACAAGCAAAGCAGCACATGCATAATCACATAAAGGTAGCAGATAACGTGCTAAACACTTGTATGTCACATAAGTATTTCTAATTTAGTAGCTGTAGATATATTTGGTGAACCAAATAACAAATTATAAAGTAATTGGTGTTCAGAGTAATTTTACACGTTTTAGGAGATTATATAGGTCAAATTTCGATAAAAATGCCAACCCGCAATGATGACATTAAAACGTGTAAAATTTCTCTGAACGCCTAATTCAGGTCCAAATATAGCTGTAAAAAATGCTCATGCCCCTGTTTGTTTTATCAACACGTGGACAATTTGTTCCGGTTGCACTTTCATAGTTGGTACTATATTTCAGTAACGGTTTATAAATGTATAAAAGCTGGAACAAATAGAGGATTTGCCGATCGACAAGACCCAGTTGTTCACAACCTGAGTAGAAAAAACTCTTCCCTACTGAAAGATTTTATTCTAACGATAACTGTACCTAAATTCATAAAAACAACTAAACTGATTTTGTCCAATATTTTAAAGTCAAATACACATATCTACAAGCACAAAAAATATGTATAATTTAGCGTAAAATAAAATGCAGATTTGTCCATGCTGGATCTTTGAAGTATATTTTCTAAAATAATTCCCGAGTGCATCACGCGTATATTGTCCAAGTGCTCGGCTGGCTTCAGCAATTTTAACAATTAAAGCTGAGTGTGACACAATCCAATGATCGATGTTTTCGCAGTGACACAAGATAATCGTTATAAGGAAAAGTGGTGAATATAGACGATCAAATGACATTCACGACGGCAGTGCATGGATGTCATGTCCTCTTTTTGATTGGATGATTATGCAAAATGCCCGGATACAACTATACATTTACCTATGTCGTGAAGAAATTATAGATGGCGGATGGATTTTGTGAGCCCGATCTTTTAGTATTTTAGCTACTTTCCTGAAGAGGAAAGTGGTATCCAATCTATACCATGGTTTGTAAAGAATTCGAGGAATTATGTGGAAAATTTGGGAGTCTAAGTCCTCATAAAAGGATAGATATCATGTGCGGAATGTTACGTATGTGCCTGCCTCCTGAGTTGAGATTCATAGGCTCCGTGGTTGAAGATCTAGCGAAAAAAGATTATCACTTTTTACGAGAACATGAAATCAGAGCAAACAGTCAGGAAAAACTGAGTGAAATTAAGCATAACGATCCACATGCACTCGCTAATAACATGGCTCTGAGCCTAGCCCTATTGCATTCATGGAATGCAAGTTGTGCAAACATCATCTTCGAAATTTTAACCAGCAACTTGAAAAGTGCTTTCGATGTAACTTGGGCTTCAGATACAGCAACACGAGATGTGATTTTATTGGTGCTTATGATGGCTAAAAACCATCCAGCTTTTACATTTTATCAAAAGACTGTCATCGGCGAACATAATGAAAGACAAAATATCTTGCTGACGGTAAGTTGAAGTAGGTCAGTCGTTATCACTCGCCTCCATAGTCTTTGGAAGTTGGCAGAGTAAATCAATTAAGTTCCCCCGTGCCACCCTGTTTTACAGTTAACATTAACATACAGTTCTGCAAAATGTGCTATTCAAGCAATTTGTACTGTCACCATGTAAACAGTGCTGTATTCGGTGTACACAGAGACGTATATACTACTAGCTTTATATGTCTCTGGTGTACATGTACTTGTATATAAACACCACAAAATACATACTTGATCAAAAATTAACATCAATCGCAATATTGATAAAAATTGCTTTATTATAATTATGAAATGTAATCTGATGGCAACTAAACATCAACATCAAAATTGTAACATAATGACTTAAACTTTGACAAGTTCACACTAAATGCAGCCCCTTCCCCCCTGCATCCCCCTCATTACTTCCTCGGTTTTAGCTAAATGTGGCTAAGAGGAGTTACTGAAAAAAACATGTATAACAACTGTGTTACATAACATCATTGTGATCAAACAAACTAGTATGTGTCGGAGAATGCAGAGTTTTAATATATAATGATATTTATAGTACTGTAAAACTTGAGAAAATTGCTACTAACAGGTAGACCTATATTTCATGTGTATTGCAATCTGCACAATAATTAATATTATTGATTAAGGGTTTCAATCATTTTATTATGCTCGTATATGTATACGTACCTGTAGTTCCGTATATGTACATAATGTTAAATATCAATAATATTATATACATGGTAATATTGATATGACCAAGATAAACTGTTATCAAGATATCGATATTAAAACAATAATTGATAGTGTCAACTTTTTTTATCAATTGATCCAAACCAAACATATGTACACAGTCAGAGCAATTATAACTCAGTCAATTTACACTGGGTTATTGAATTAATGATACCATAAATTCATTATTATTTGGTATTGCAGGTCTGAACAGTAAGGCTATAATGATTATATATATATATATACAATAATGAATTACATGGCAATTGTTACATGAATACCCCCAGTCACATTATTCTGACAACAGACTAATGAGAGGTGTTGAGGAAATCGGTGCTGAAAAGAGAGGTTAAACAAGAGAAAAAAATATTAATGTCTTTAGTGTTTTGATGGGGCACCAGATCAACACAATACATAGGACAAGCCCTGCATCAGATATATATGGCTCAATTAACTCATTCACCCCTGAAATTTCATAATGAACTATTCCAACCTTTGAATTGGAAGAGCTCAAATGTGTCTTCAGGGGTGAATGAGTTCAGAAAATAAGGGTCTAAAGTTGAGGTGTTCTTTTCTACATCACTCTGAATAAGAACAGTTGGCTCATTTCTTTGTATACCCATATCTGTAATAACTACAAATTGTTCACTGTTCAACAATGCAACCATTTTCCTTTTTCTACTAGTACAGTATTACATTACATGTGTCATGTACTGTGTGCACAATGTGACACACCATGGCCAGTCATTTGCTGTTCCTAGGTACGTACGCCGTGCCACTTTTCAATAAATTGTACAACACGTTTCTGTGAATCCTATACAGTCTGCTTTCAGTTTCTGTTTCAACAAAGCATTTTCATTGAATATTTTATCAATTTTATTTGTACATGTATGTACCTGCAGATATCAAGAAAGCAATGAAATCTACATAATTAGAAAGTGAAAGTAAAATATAAACTGACCTATATATAAAGAACATCAAATTAAATGCCATGATTTAAAAACAAATGAGTGGTTCAATGATAGGTGTGTTTTATAGTAGTTACAGTGTGTTAGGGTCCATATAGAATTAATCTTCCCCTATCTTGAGGGTGTGACATGTACAGAGAAATCTCCAACCCGAGGGGTGATGTACATGTTTTTTGGTTGTCTAACCCGAGGCTCTGCCATGGGTTAGACAACAACAAAACATCACCCCGAGGGTTGGAGATTTCTTTGCTACACCTTCAAGGTAGGGGATGATTATTTTTCTCCCATCCTATTATTTCAGTCACAGCTCCACTGACAGTAGTCTGTCATGTTTGTAAACAAAAACACATGCATATCGTCATTCACTTTTGATGACGTAACAATTACAGATGACACATTTTAATGACGTCACAATTGAACATGTGCTACTCGGCACGAGGCTATCACCCCCTAGGGGTTGACAAGCTGATCTTTCCTGGCTAAAACGGGAGTTACGCCTGTGAAGGGTGGGGGAAATCTATCATCATGTGTTGTCTTACTGTCACCAGTAGTGGAAAGGTGTTCATTATACATGGAGATGTATTCGTACACGTCAATGGAGATTATTTACGTCAGTTGATATATTATAATGATATGCCAATCAAGGTTTGTGTTATTAGCACAAATTTTCTAGCATCAGTCCCCTTCGTCTTGGCATTCAGCCAATGTATAGCTATATGATCATGATTGAACAATATGCACAGGTGAATTGTAATCAGTTAGGTTCTCATTGTGTGCGAAATTCATTTCATGGATTGTATTTATATAATTACATGAAAATCAAATTGTATTTATTTTCTGTCTCCTTCTTTGTCTGCAGTAAACTAAATTTTTAAGTTTTTCACTATTTTATTTTGCCTGATGAGACACATTCGATTATTTTTATTTTTTTACTCTTGCTGCAGCTATATGGTGTGAAACAGTTAGTGTATTACATCACTATAGATAATTTATATGTATGCTACTGCAACCTTCCTGTACTTGTTATATATATACACTAGAGAAGACCACATTGGGTGTAGATGTAATATCTAGACTACTGCAACCTTCCGGTACTTGTTATATAGTACTAGAGAAGACCACATTGGGTGTAGATGTAATATCTAGACAGTCCATCATCACTGTACATGTACTTTCATTAGTTGTATATAGAATGCCTACTTATAAATTAATATGCATTTGTAATTGTACTGACATGCATGCTTTGCAGGATGCTCAGAAGTTCAACAAATAATTTTGTCTGCATGCCCTGCAAGTCATTGAAGATAGATTGCCATATAAAAATGTGCAATGGCAAGTGTACTCGCTGTTAGTAATATGTATAACAATAATATGTAGACAACATACAATGTATAAATTTATATGTATAACAGTTCATTTTGTTTTATTGTGATATTTAGTTCTTATTACAAGCTTTTTAACCAAAGTTTATATTATTTTACTTCTGAAATTGCTAATTGTCCAGAGTCATCTGATGAAAGCCCTATGAAACATGTCTTGGAATGTAATATACTTAACGTCTAGCTATATAGTACTAGTCCAGTTGATATAAAGAATAGCTGCATGGAGACTATATATATATATATATAGCATCATGGTACTTCCCTGGTAATGATACAATGTACATGTGCATGCACTTGTAAGTTGTACATTTCACTGATCACAACAGGTAAACAGGGTTAGACACTAACTGCTTTTGTTTGGTAGTCCACATGTACAGGATTAGTTGAATAGATTACTTATAATTACTAGTCCTTTGTCAACTGTCCATTCTGTCTTATACATTTTTACAAATATGTATATTGTACTTCATTTTCCATATCTGCAACTTTATTTCCTCATGTAACACATATTATGTGTCTGAGTGTCAATACAATCTTGCTTGTATACATGCATGTACAGTAAATGTACTTGTCCATCCTGTCAAAATTTAACATATGAATTCATGTACATGTACCTCATGTCACACATTTTCATGTGTCTGAGTGTTGGAAATAAAATCTGAAATCTGTCAATGTAAATAGTCCAAGATTTCCTGATAAGGAAAAAATTGCAATCTACAGCACGAAACATCAAAAGTAATTGACTGTAGGAGACTTAAAATAACTACTACTATAAATATATGGTAAAGTTTGAGGAAAATTTTGACAATCACACGATGAATATCTTATTTTTAGCAGTTTTCTAAATTTTAAAATGAAATGACTAGTGTTAGTGTCGACCCCTAGGTAAATTATAGGTATGTACATGTACATGTACACGACACATTAAGTATCATCTCCCACTATAGTTTTACAATCTAGACAATACTATTTACCGTTTTGATTTATGTGTCACTCTGATAGATTTGTTGACAGATTATTTGTTAGTAAATATATATCTACTATAGGAGATAAGATTTTGTCATTGACGTCTATAGCGACGTACTACATATAACTGTATAGCCGCAACACTAGTAATCTTGATCCACATACATGTGTATCTATATATACTTGACCGAGAAGAATTTGACCCCAGATAAACCCACACATAACATGTATTTTCATCTTGATCTTGACCTAGTTTTGAAGGTGCTGCACCAGGAGCTAAACCCCAAAGAGATCTAGCCTTTGAGTGCCGTGTACACTATACATACATGTATTTTATATTGACTTATGTTTTCCATTCTTGAGGTTATAAGCTACAGATGTATATATAGCTAGCTAGCTGATATATAGGGTAACAGTACTTTTCTGTTAGTACTTAAACTGTTCAAGTGTGTGCAATACATACATGTACATGTTGCAATTATATGTAGTTTTAATAATTAACCAATGACATTATGACAATGTATACATACCTGGGGTAGCATATATATATATATTTAGGCATTAGTGAATTGTCCAATTTTCAAGAAGATGAATACAATATACCATGAGATGGGGCTGGCTAGTAGCTACTAAAACACAAATAATTTCCAACTTTAGCCATCATAGGAAGAAATTGCAGGACAAAAATCTCTAAAAGTACATAAATGATTCTTCATTTAAAAAAGAAACGTATTTGAAAAAAAAAGACTTGCCTGTATAATATCATAGATTTGGTAGTTCTATATACATATACTTATTCAACTAAATGAATCTGAGGGAAAAAATGAGCTGTAGGGATTTTTTCTGATATTGAAAACCCCAAGTGCGATGTTTCACACAATGCATACATGTACAAAAATTGAAATTAAAAAAGGCAATTTAAAACCTGGTGCCATGTT